TCCTCTCCTCAATGGCTGAAAGCTTCCTCTTTTCACAACTTGGACATGATAGATGGGACACTTCTCAGGCAAGAATTTAAAAAAAAAAAAATTAAAAATTTAATGTCTGAAATTGGCATAAATGTTTTGCTAGTCAATATTACCGAGGTCTTATACTGAGTCAAGCATAGGGATTGCATTATGTAGCTAGGCCACAAAGCCAATTCATCTGAAGAACAGCATTACTAAAGAATTTCAAAAGAATCTGGAGTTCTTCTGAAGTCCAAGATAACTGACTGAATTTTCAGAAACTGTCACAAAACAGTGGGCTCTTCCCACTTGTAAATCTACAACTGTACCAATGACAGATTCGTTTAGTAATCATCTGTGATTTTTCTTACATAGTCTGAGTCCCAGTTTCTTGAAGAGGGAGCAATGCAAGTCCTACTCAAGCCTTCTTGTACAAGTAATATAATAAAGAAAAACTCTTTGTAGACGGGTTCTTTCTTGGAAGCTGAAAATCATGCAATACATCTAAGTGGATTTAGCCTTAAAAGTAAACTATAAAGCTAAAAGTAAGCCTAGCTTTATTATCATATAATTCCTACATAACCTAATCATATCACTCTTGGGTCTTGTTCTGCATGTCATCCTGGAGCATCAGCTCATCTGATGAGATGGACAGGCAGGAGCCTGGCTCCCACTCACGATCAACTTGGCTGGCCATTAAGTTGATCCAAGTACTGATCAGACTGGTAAGGCAGACCAGCACAGAAAAGAAATTGCTGTGTGTGTGTGGTTATTACTATTACCAGCTGTGGCTGGTACAGCCTAACACAGCACTAATTAATTATATGGTCGGTCAGTCATTAATTCAAAATCAAGAGTTACTGGTCACTAGCCAAATATCCTGCAAATGGCTATCAGTAGTTGTTCCAGATCCACTGGGTACGAAAAAGTTTCCAACAAGGCAATATAACCACCCAAAGTTAGCCTGGCAATGTGCAGCAGAAATTTTACTCAGATGTCCGCCAGGTCTCAAGGCATGATCCATTGGTTGCATTTGCATACTGATGGCATTTCTCACATGTCATTCCTAGCTGAATGATCACCAGGGATCCTAGTTTTTTCTGTTTAAAAATCCAAAATTCTCCTTTTAAGTCCCCCCAAAGTCTGATTTTAAACCCCAATATCCACATTTTTCTGCAATTAAAATTAAATACTAATATATTCAAGTGATAGCTATATCTACAAAATTTACAATTTTAAAGCAATGTGGAAGCTTAACAGTGCCTCAATCATTATAACAAAATAAATTCTATATTCCTATATTTTGGTGTTTTAGTTTTTTGGGTTTTTTTTAAACAAAGGAAAAAAAAATCAGAGTTTTCCCTACCCCCTTCACTCACCAAGACATGGGTCCAGCTGCAGCTGTCACACTGCTGCTTTGTGGTGCTAAACAGCCTTAATATGCTGGTGCCCCTTACTCCCAAGCAACAGTGCCCTCCAGCCCTGCCAGTTCCCCTCACTCCCAACTCACTGCCACCTGCCCCACCCCCAGGCCCAGCCTCAGTGTGCAGGGCAGGGGTCTGCGGGGCAAAAGCGTCCCCAGCCATAAGTGACACATTGAGGGCCAGGTTCCACCCACTGGGCTGCAGAGGAGGCTCCTGCCCCTGCCAGTCCAGCCAGACTACAGCCCCATACCCTACCATGGGCACACCAACTGTGGGGGGGAAGAAGTTGCCCCCTCCCCTATGCATCACCTATACCCTCCTGGCTCTCCCATGCCTTGGCTATGCGGCCCCTCATGAGGCTAGCTTGTCACATTTAGCTTTAGTTCCATGTGCTTGAGTTGTGACTTATAGTATTGTTTGAACTTTTCTTTTATATGCAGCCTTATTTAACCACTGCTTAAGTTTCTGTATAGTCTCATCATTATTTGAACTTTTCATTTTGCTTGTGTCTGTACTATCAGGTAGCCTTGAGGTCACTTTCACAGGCAGCTTATGGTCCAGCATTATCAATGTATGCATGTGAAATGTAGGCCTTGTTATTAGCTCAAATTAACTGAACGTGGCACTAACCAACTAAAACAGAGGGATGACATGACTGGATATGTTAATGAAAGGTGGTAAGAGGGGAACAACTGGACAGTGCCCTATTGCAGAGCTTTTGGAATTTCCAGTTTTGATGGACAAACCAAATTAGGAGTCCAGGACATGACCAAATTAAGATGTGTGCATGTGATGGGTTTCTTAGAACCAAGGAATATACTGACAGGATAAGAACATGAACAGTATGATGATCACAGGAAAACCAATCAACAGTACCCAGAAATAAAGAGCCACCAGAAGAAAAAACATAAAAGCAGGACAACAAGGAAGTTGAGTGTGTCATTGTCCAACAACACCTGGACTGAAAAACAGCCATTACCCACAGACTACCACTCTCTACTTTCGGGAACTGGCCACCTATTCTGTGAAGCAGAGTAATACCTGGGATTGGTGAGACCACTGAACTAAGTGGTTTTTTCTCTCTTTCTATGCAGAAATTATTAATACAGTTAATACGCTAATAAAGTTAAAATTTAAGTTGAATTGTGAGATGAATTTCATATTAAGCTCTGGGTTGATTATGCTTTGGTGACTCTTTAGCACCATGGGGGCATAACAGTTTGGTGGAATGTGCAGGCAATGCAAAGCATGATTTATTTACCTGCAAGTTTAACACAACAGTTGGGAATATGTAGAATATTCAGGTCTCACACAGAGACCCAGGTTTAATCTCATGCAGAGACCCAGTATTTTTGCCTACCTGTAGTTAAGGGGTCGCAACCTTTTCCAGGACAGACCTCTAGCTAAGAGGAAGAGAGCTTCATTTTGGAAAAAAAGACTTACCTTTTTGCACAATGACAACATCCAATATAAAAAAAACAAACCCGTTTTTTAAATTTAAAAAGTAACCCAAAATCCACATTTTTCCATGATTAAAATGAAACACCACTATATAGATATCTATATAGTGGTGTTTCATTTTAATCATGGAAAAATGTGGATTTTGGGTTACTTTTTAAATTTAAAAAGTAACCCAAAATCCACATTTTTCCATGATTAAAATGAAACACCACTATATAGATATCTATATATTATTGGTGTTTCATTTCAATCATGGAAAACGTGGATTTTGGGGTACTATTTTTAATTTTAAAAATTGGGGATTGTTTTTGTTTAAATCAGAGAAAACCTGGGTCCCTGGTAAGCAGTAAGGGCCTTGGGTTCACAGAAGTCTAGGGCTCTTTGGATGGTACCTGAAGGGGCTAGAGAAGTAGCCATTCAGTCTCAAGAGGAGGCAAAGGATAGGAGAGACTGGGCTAGAGTTGAGAAACCCACACTGTCAGATGATTGCAGAAGCTGCAGACAGCTGTTAGCCAAAAGGCAACAGCAGACGAAAGGAACGATTTAAGGAATGAACATAGGAAGTTAGAGAGCAGAGATTGACAGCTCATTCGGATACAAGAGCTGGCAAGAAGGGCAGAGCTGAATCAACAGACTCACCTGCAGGAAGCTGCAGGAGCTGCTCTCTACCACGCTGCCTGACTGCTACATGCACATGTGTGTGTCTACATGCACGTGGCACTCCTTGCCTGTGATCGCCCTCCTCCCACTCCCCCCAGCTCCAAGCAGTGCCTTGCAGGCTGGGACTCTGCCACCCTGCAAAGGGAAAACTGTGGTTTCCCACATTTTTCTCCTTTAAAAGGAGAAAAACAAGTGATTTTCTCAAGAAAATCTGCTTTTTTCTGTATCAAATGGAGAACCTGGATCCCTGATGATGATCACAGACATTACTGTAGGATACCATTAAACATCCAGGTTTTTATTCATGCAGTGACTGCAGTACAATTCTGGGTAGAACTGCTTAGAGCAGTAGATTCTTACCCTGCATTTTACCAATGACGACAGGCCTAAGTTTATCTAAAAGCAGTGCTGAGCATTTGCACAGCATTACATCTGCTTTGATGTCATCAATCAGTATGGCAACGTCTAGGAAACCAAACCTAATGATCTAAATTGTAATGCCATACAAGGAGCACTACTTAATCCCATTGCTGTACCTACTCTCAGCTATTTTTGATCAGATGAACATCTTCACTTTTACGCCTAATGAAATTGACCAATATTAGAATATGACTAGTTTCCAAATCCAAAATCTGTACCAAAAAGTTCTAGTTTTTTTACACAGGACTACATTCACAAACACAATCTTCTTTGTTCTACCCTTTCATGAATCACAATTACAAAGCACCTTCTATATCACAGTGTTCTGCTACACACCGCCTCTTAGAAGCATTGGCACTATTGTAACTCCATCTACTTTTGATTCTTGGCAGGCAATACTGCCTATGATGATAAGCTATAGCGTGACACAATCAATCACACAACCAAATTTAGTCTTAAGTATGCTGGCTAATTCTTGTGTTTTCAGAGAAGTATTAGCTTGACAAATATAGATTTCTCTGTATTTACTGTTCAAGCAAGTAATTTTCATTTCACAGATGTCTTATGAGACTTACTACAATAACTACATATAGTGTATCTGTTTTACAACTACTTAAGTGTCAATGCAGTTCTGTCAACCTGACCATCAGACCACATGGATTTAGAGATGATGAGTGGAGGCCCTGACAGGTGATGTGTGTATGCATCTGGTGTATGGCAACAGAACTATACAATTACAGGCTGCTACTGTTATCAGTAACCCACACCTTGATATATATATGCTACTCATACAGTAAATAATTATCAGCTACACACAATCTAGTGAGTTTAAATGGGAGAAAATTACATGTTCAGATACTCTATTATACATTTATCAAGCCTGGCAAGGACAAACACTTTGTCCCAGGGCTTTTAAAAGATAATTAACCCATCAGGAAATCTACTTTGAGGCAGCTCTAGGCAGGTGGTGTGTTGCTCCATGAAATTGTAAAGAAAACTCTGTAGAAAAGTTTACTTCAATCTTACCTTTGAATCATATGCAGACTGTTTTATTACTTCAGGTGCCATCCAGAATGGTGTTCCCACAAAGGTATTTCTCTTTATTTGTGTATCTGTTAGTTGTCCTGCTACTCCAAAATCTGCTAATTTTACCTCTCCTTGTTCAGACAGCAATACATTGGCAGCTAATAAAGGAAAAAATATGGGTTAAATGTTTCAAAGCTTTTCGTTGACTCTACTACTAGAGCACTTCATCAAGACGGTCTTTTTTCTTTTTTTTTTAAACTGACAAAACACAATACTTACCTTTAATATCTCTATGGATTTTCTTTTCTGAATGCAAGTAATCAAGTCCTTTAAGTATCTCTCTTAATATTGTGGCAATCTGGGTTTCATCAAGAGAACCAGGTTCCAACTAGGAAAAACATATAAATAATGGTAACTTACAAGTTTTAAAGATGTCATAGAAGCAGAGGAAGAAATGAATGTGCCATGATATGTGCTTGTCGGTAAGTTAATATGTTTAATTGATTTTGGTGTCAATTACGGTTTGACACATGAAGTGTGATCTATTTTTCTCTCTCCTATTCCTTAACATACATTATCTGTGTCTTGGATCTGCTTTTACCACTCTTTATATGGGGTAATAGGCAAATAACTACATGGAAACAGAAGTGTGCTTACTAGCTGATGACAACGTAACCCAAAACCATGAACAAAATTTAGCCTGAAGACCTCTTCTTTGTATCTGAATCACTATGTTTTGAGAGAAAAAACAATGCTCCCAAGTTATGATAGAGTAGCGTCCCCGTGATTCTCCCAACCCCACATCAGACTGCCCTTTGAACATGTTAGAAACTGAGCTTTTGCTCTAGTAGGGCTCTACTTAAATGTTCTATGCATGATATGACAAAGTAATCATTTTCCAATTTAGCTAACATTGGAGAAGGCACATTTTACAGATTTACGGCAGCACAAACCAAAACCAAATAGATGCCCATACTTTTGTTGTGCCACAATGAAGCCATGACAAAGAAGTGGTAACAAATTGTGCTGCTTTATTGCAACAGATGTCTATTTGCTTCACAGAAGCAGAACGCTGTCAGCCCAGAGTTGCCCACAATCTTCTGCTATCCCAGGCAGGCGGCGCTCCCTGGTTAGAGGGGCCCAGTCCTACATGCCTCAAATTCCTACCCAGAATTGCGTCCCTCAAACTCAGGGAGCATCTACCCAGCTTTCCTGGTTTCCAGACATTTGTCATGGAGATGGTTGGGGCACATTTCTGCAAGCAAGGAATCCCAACTTTCTCGGCTTCCAAAGACATACCCCAGAGATCCCAGGCACATCTCTGGAAGCAGGGAAAGTCAAGGTACTCCACTGTGAATTGGTGGCCCCAGCACTGGGCCTGTGTACCACACTGGAGTGTCCAGCTTTTCCTACTTCCAGACACGCCCCTGGGATTTCCCAGGTGCTTCTCTGAAAGCAGGGAAAGTCAGCTTTTCTTGCTTGCAGTTGGACCCCCAGCAATCTAAGAACCCCAAAGATTGCCAACAGCTCGTCTCTGGAAGTGAGGAAAACACTGTCCCACATGATAAAACAGGAGGACAATGGGCAATGTGTGTTTCAACCAATTAAGTAGATCAGCTGCGCTGGGTCATATCCCACCAGAGCTGATCGGCTTCATTGGGTGAGGGTTAGTTCTAGCCAAAGAGAAACTGGCAAGTAATGATGAATAAATGGGAAGAGTACTGAACAAAGAAAGTATGAGAACCATAAAAATATTTATACTGCCCTTCTTATATGCTTTCAGTGGTCCACAGACATAACACAACAGCAGTAGCATCTTCAAGTTTAAATATAAACTCAAAATAAGGCACAATTCTAGAAAGCCAACATGATTTGCCCACAAACAACAAATTTAAACTAGTAAATTATTTTATCTGTGCTTTGCTGAAACAAAATATTTTTTGTGGGGAAAAAAGTTCCCAATTAACTCTAATTTCTTGATTATGTGTTTTAAAATATGCATGTATGTAGTAGTAAACATGAAGTAATCTTGTCGTTTTTAAAGAGTTTTTCTTTCCTAAATTAATTTTAATCCTCACGTGAAGTATCAAATGGACAACCTTTGAGAGAAACATCCTTTACAGGGAAAACTAATCTTCACTAATGAGTGACATGTAACCTTTTAAAATAATATTAATATGTACTTTGTGAACTGTAGTTAAGTTTTAATTCTTTGCTATTTCAAAGAGTACTGCTAAGTGTACTTTAATATACCTTGTATAATTCAGTTTTAGTAATGAGATCTCACTATAGACTAAGATATTAAAATCTATGCTAGATGATGGCTTGTTTTCTTTATGAATTAGAAAGCAAGTCGAAAGGCTGTACTGCCTTTATTAACAATAAATGTATGCCTTAAATAGAAAGACATTTTCAACACCATCAGTTTGTCTCTAACAGATGAACCCCCACACCACCGAGAAGAAGAAATTATGTTTCTGTGTCGACTCACACCTCAGTGAGGATACAAACAAGGGGGACAATCTGTTTTATTTTAATCACGTAGTTAGGAACAATTATATGACTACCACAAACTCAGTAAATAGTAACAAATTTTAGTCGCCAATATTCTCTGGTGATTAGTCAATATTTTGAAATAAAAATGTTTTCATATCTCTTTTCAAACATCCCATGTTACCTAACCTCTTTGCATGTGAATTAGCGGTGCATCAATAAAGATTTCCTTAGCCAATGCTGATAGCCAGTTATTTAACTTGGCATATCAGTCATTACCGACCCAACAACAATTTACAGGAAGGCAGTATGGAGAGCATTTCCCTGCAGGTACTGTATTTCACAGAGTTAACACAGTGTAGAAGACAACCCCATTTTTCTGATCCAGAAAGTTAGGAATTTTGTAAATCTGATGTATAAAAGTCAACCTAACTTTCTGGATCAGAAACATGGACCAGAACTTATACCAGCCTCTGCATACCCTCACTGTGGACCAGGCACCCAGGGGGTGGGCACATGCCGCAGCACCGCTCACAAAGAACAGGGATGGGCTCAGTGCTCCACTGGTGTGGCCCTGTCCCCTGCGAGCAGTGCTGCCTGGGCTGTGCCAGCTAAGCATGAAGCTCAGCGTCACTCACAGGGGATGGGGCTGAGCCAGCTGAGCATCGAGCCTAGCTCTGTCTGCTGCGAGTGGTGCTGCCAAGTGCCAAGGCCAGCCCCATCCTTTGGGAGCAGTGCTGGGCTGGCACAGCTAGGCTTGGCACAGCTAGGCTTGGCACTTGGCAGCACTGCTCACAGCAGATGGGGCCAAGTTGGCGCTCAGCTGGCATGCCCCCATCCCCTGTGAGCGGCACTGCCTGGACTGCACCAGCCAATCACCAAACCTGGCGCCACTCACAGAGGACAGTGATATGGTGTCTAAGCCGAGGCTGAATTTTAAGAGTTAAAAATTGGGTTTCAAAACTTGACTTATACACCATGAAATATGGTATGCCTGTGGAAGGGAAGGGGCTTGTGGGGAGGGCAAACCATAGTGAGGGAGGGAATGGGACAGGGGCTGGGGGCACTGCCCAGCCAGGTTGGTGAATGGGACCTGGTGTGACGAGTGGGACAAAGCTGCAGGAAGCTTATACAGGGGATCAGCACTGTGGTGCTTAAAACTGGCAGCAGGGGTGCCTGAACTAAAGCACAGCAAATGAGCTTTAGTTCAAGTGCTGCCACCACCACTTTTAAGCACAGGGATGCTTTTAAACCAGAGCTGAGCAGGGCAAAAGTGGATGCAGGCTGTGGGCTCCAGGCTCTCTGCCCTGCTGCCTTTGCCCCAGGAGTCCTGCACTGGCTGCATGTCCCCTGCCCACCTGGTAGTGGGAGGTACAACTCACTGCCCTCACTGCTGTCATGCGGGCAGGGGGCACATGGCCAGCGCGAGGCACCCAAGTGAAAGGCAGCAGAACTGAGAGCCCAGAGCTTACAGCAGGCAGCCTGCATCCGCCCTGTGCACAAATCTGGGGGGTACATGCACCCCATGCCTCCCTTGGGGGTTATATGCAGCAGAGGGGAGCTGCCACCCCCTACACACACACACCCTGGACAAGCTGCCCACAGCTCCGTCCCGCTCCCCACCCCAACCACCATTCATTGCCCTCACTGGGCAGCACCCCCAGCCCCAGCCCCTCCCTCACCATGGGAGCCCTGATCTGCCCCACCCTCACCCCTTCCCCTCCGCAGACTTACCTTCAAGGTGCTGCTCTCTACACTGCTGGCTGCATTCCTGGCTATATGCATGCATGCGGCTGCACACATGCACACAGCATCCAGGGGCCCTGCCAGAAGGCATATTATATTTATCAGTTAACATTATCAGCTACACTGGCCAAGAAAAAAGCCGACAGACAATAATGTTAATTTTCCTGTTATCGGTACCAATCCAATATGATATATCAATATCAGTGCACCTCTAATGTGAATGTTAATTCCTGACATCACTTCTTGGAAATTCATACATGCATGTACACTTTCTTCCCCACCTTATTGAGAATTTTTTTGCATAAAAATATTTTGGGAGTTTGTTTCTCAAGGCATATGGTCATGCTACTTTTTCATGTAAATTTAAAATATTGTATTTCTGAGATGACAACTGTTAAATCACCTTCAACTGAATTAACAAATTCCTACATAGTTTACTTACTAGATCAAGAGCAGAGCCTCCACCAAGGTATTCCATTATTATCCATAACTTTGTATCCTGAAAAAATAAGTAATAAATGCTTAGGATATTGAGTTTCAACTTGGATGCCACAGGATCCTGGGATACCATATGATCCAGGATGATGCAGTGCCAAGCCCCTGTGTCACAGGTAAGTGACTGCTCTTCTTCTCTCCCTGCAATGTGCACCCCAGAGTCCCACAGACAAGCAGCATCTGCGACTGTGCCCTACCCCGGCAACTCCTACAATGACCCCCATGAGCTTAGTAGGGTGTTGTGCGGCATGTGTGTAAGCAGATAGGTGGCCATGGGGTGACAGGACTGCACTTTTCAAAAAGTATTAATAGCATATGTTTCTTTGATTACTTGGCTTCATTCAACTATAGCTTTACTATAACAGAGATAGGCAAAAAGCAAGGCAACGTGGCACCCTAAAGACTAATTTGCTAATAAGTTAATTTTTCAGGTGCCACCATCTCCTGCTTTCTGCCTGACTTCAGGCTAACATGGCTAAATCTCTCTCTAAAAAAGAAATAATGACAGAAAAAAAAAATCAACTAACACCAATATTTAATATATATATATTCTGTGTCCCCTGCTTACTTTTAGATGGATATCCATTCCTCTACCCCCATATTGATAGTTATTAGTTTGCAAGATGGTATATAGTTTTCATTAAAGTATGTTTCCTCAAGAAGAAAAGATGCATACTTGCTCCTCATTTATTTGAAAATGACTACCTACGCTAGCTTCATTCCATTTTATTAACAGTTTCCTATTTTACGTACGTATTTCTGTGCAAAGTCTTGTCCACCTCCTCTAGGAAGACAAAACTTCCATATCTGGAGGAACAGCACTTTCCCACCCCACCAGGGAGGGGCAGCAGATTACATGAGGTAGTACAGAGAGCTCAGACTCCGAAAATATTACACAGATATACAACTTAGGAAAAGGCAATTTCTCTGCAATCCCTGTACAAAGGGAGTCCTTGCAAATTAATTACAAGTTGTATATCAATTTTACCATCTATCAAACGCACCAACAGAAGCAATAATCTACAGTAGAACCCGACATGAGCTATACCAAAATAATAAATCCACTACATATCCTCTATGCATTTACTACAAAATACAAGTTTTAAAACCATTATTCATAAGGTTTTAACACAGTAATGGGGCTTTCAATTCTCTAAATAGCAAGGCTTATTTGGTTATACATATACTTTTAGGACAATTTGCAAACCATCACAGCTACAACACCACTACAACCAAATTCTGTGCACCAATCAATCCACAAATACTATAGTAAAATTGGAAACCTACATACATCACATGGGGTACACCAATAGGGATTTTGGAGGCTGATACAGATAGCCAATTTTTTAAGGAAGCAGATTGGCCAATACCCATCCCATTTCCAATACTAGCCGTGCAGCTTGAAAAGCAGTGTCCAGATGGTAAGTCTGTTGTGGTGGAATGGGTGGAGGGAAGG